CCTGGCGGCCGTCCTCCTCCAGGCCGCAGGGGGCGCTGGGGAGCGGGCCTCGGGGTCGCATGCTGATTGGCTTCTCCGGAAACGGACAATTCTCGACGTTGGGCCTGACGGGCGTCAGCTTTGCGGCGCGGGTGCTTGGCGTCGCCAGGTTGCTTTCAGGCTGTGATTTGATAACTCCTGCAGGGTGGTGTGGAGCGCCTCGAGACTTCTTCCTTCACTGCAGCCTCTCTTCTTTTAGTCCTAGACTGAGGAACTAACCACCTGGGTGAAAGTGGGGTCCAGATTTCCCAAACTTGCTTCGGAGGAAAAAGCCCTAACGGTGGAGGACAGTGAATTCCTAGCGTATGGTCCGCCGTTTATTTGAAGTTCCGTATTTTTGTCTTAAAAATGAGAAAATGTGCATTTTATTCTCATGGTGTATTGTTTGTTTTGATGAAAAAGGGAGTCCGGGCGCGATGGCTCACACCTGTAATCCCAGCACTTTGGGAGGCCGAGGCGGGCGGATCACCTGATGTTGGGGGTTCAAGACCACCCTGACTAACATGGAGAAACCCCGTCTCTACTAAAAAATACAAAATTAGCTGCGCCTGGTGGCGCATGCCTGTAATCCCAGCTACTCAGGAGGTTGAGGCAGGAGAATCGCTTGAACCCAGGATGCGGAGGGTGCAGTGAACCGAGATCGCATCATTGCACTCCAGCCTGAGCAACAAGAGCGAAACTGCGTCTCAAAATAAATAAATAAATAAATAAAAATAAGTAAAAGTCACCCGTTAAACTGGTACCCACTGTCAGGTGAACCAGTTTTTACTGCTTCACTTGCCTTACCCCTTCACACCTGCTTGGTTAGAACTCATAGAATACGGAAAAACCGAATTCCGACCACTGTTAGTACCTAAGTACTAGGATATTTTTGTCTTAGCAAGCTTCCCAGGTCAACTTAGGAATGTCCCAGGTCAACACTTAATTTTAAGTGTTACCTAAGGCTTTACAGCCTGAGGCCCCACACATTACCTGCAGGCTGAGGTTCTACTTTGAAGAACTAGAGTTTTGTTTCTTTGTTGTTTTGTTTTTTTGATACAGAGTCTCACTCTGTTGCCCAGGGTGGAGTGCAATGGCCTGATCACGGCGCAATTTTGGCTCACTGCAACCTCCGCCTCCCAAGTTCAAATGATTCACTTGCCTCAGCCTCCCGAGTAGCTTGTATTACAGATTCGTGCCACCATACCCAGCTAATTTTTGTATTTTTACTAGAGTCAGGGTTTCACCATCTTGGCCAGGCTGGCCTTCAGTTCCTGGACTCAGGTGATACACCCGCGTCAGCCTCCCAAAGTGTTGGAATTAGAGGCATGAGCCACAGTGCCTGCCCTTAGATTACTTTTATGATTGGCGTGGGCTTGTCTGACCTAGTGATGTTGTTCCTAACACTCAGTAACATTTTGGATGTGCCCAAAAGCTTAATCACTGGAGCTGCTTTTTATGTTGAAATATGGCTGTGACAGGAAAACCTTGTCAGCCCCATGAATGTCCCTTTTCTCAGCCCTGAAGCCCATCTCTAGATGCTGACCTTACTTTTTTCCTTTCTAATCTTGAATCTTACCATTTGCAGCTGTCACCAGTCAAAGCTTTCATTACTTTGTGTTAGTAATTCTCTTATTTTCCAGGCATTTCACAAACTTTTCTTTCTTGGATAGCTTTTAAAAAGATAAATTAGCTTTTGCATCTATTAAGGACTAGTTTTTTTCCAGTTTTATATATTTTGCTTTAAAAATTCTCCTTTTGCTTGTTGGATTAACTTAAAGAATGGTTTCTCTTAGACTCTTTGATGATTTATTTTATGTTCTGTCTGGTTGCATAATTCTTGGTCTTGAACTAGACTACAAACATCCTACACTAGAGGCCTGACCTTAGTTAAGATTGCACTACCTTCTAGCTGTGTGGCTTTGGGCAGGTGTCTTAAACTTCTAAACTTCAGGTTCCTCATTTATAAATTAGGTTATGGTTGTTGTATCAAGTGATATTTGTGTAAGCACTTGATTGACCTTAAAATATAAAAATATAGGTTATTTATTTCACTGAAAATGGTATGTAACATCTCACCTTCTTCCTAGTTGACTTAGACTCTAGTTACTTCATCAGTGTTTTTATGGCTAAATTGCAAAATTCACTGGTTGAGTTTTCCTAGTGTGGCAAAAGTAAGCAGCTTTTACATTTAAAACACTGTAGAAGAATCTTTAAGTTTCTAAATACAAGGACATCTAAATAACAGCAGAGTTCTAAAATAACTTTTAAAAGTTACTGTATTATGGTAAATAAGAGTACCTACTTTCTTTTTTTTTTTTTTTGAGACAGAGTTTCGGCAGGGCTCGGTGGCTCACGCCTGTAATCCTAGCACTTTGGGAGGCCGAGGTGGGTGGATCACCTGAGGTCAGGAGTTCAAGACCAAAAAAGAAAAAAGAAAGAAAAAAAAAAAAAGAGACGAAGTTTCACTCTTGTCTCCCAGGATGGAGTGCTGTGGCAGGATCTTGGCTGACTGCAACCTACATCTCCTGGGTTCAAGCGATTCTCTTGGCTCAGCCTTCTAAGTAGCTAGGATTACAGGCATGTGTCACCACGCCTGGCTAATTTTTGTATTTTTAGTAGAAATGGGGTTTCACCATGTTGGCCAGGCTGGTCTTGAACTCCTGACCTCAGGTGACCTTCCTGCCTCAGCCTCCCAAAGTGCTGAGATTACTGGCATGAGCCACTGCACCCAGTGGTGAGTACTCCAATTAAAGGACAGAGATTGTCTAACTAGGTTAAAAAACAAAAACAGAACCCAAGGCCAGGCGCAGTGGCTCCTGCCTGTAATCCCAGCACTTTGGGAGGCCAAGGTGGGTGGATCACCTGAGGTTCGAGACCAGCCTGACCAACATGGAGACACCCCATCTCTAAAAAAAAATAAATAAAATTTAAAAAACAAAAAAACAGCACCCAAACATATGCTATTTTGAAGACATGCACTTTCAATATAAAGGCACTAATAAGGTTTGGTTTCTGTGTCCCCACCCATATCTCATCTCAATTCTTAGTACATTTTTTCTTACTTTGTAGATTTCTGTAATTTTTTTTTTTTTTTTTTTTTTTTTTTTGAGACAGAACGTTGCTCTGTTGCCCAGGCTGGACTACAGTGGCGCGATCTTGGCTCAATGCAACCTCTGCCTCCTGGGTTCAAGTGAGTGATTCTCCTGCCTCAACCTCCTGAGTAGCTGGGACTGGAGGCCCAGGACACCGTGTGTGGATAACTTTTGTCTCTTTAGTAGAGATGGGGTTTCACCATGTTAGCCAAGCCTGTCCTGAATTCCTGGCCTCAACTGATCTGCCTGCTTTGGCCTCCCAAAGTGCTGGGATTACAGGTGTGAGCCACTGTGCCTGGCCTGTATTGTTGTAATTCTTTATAATGGACATGTATCTTTTTTTTTCTTATTTTTTTATTTTTTTTTCAAAGACGGGGTTTCACCGTATTGGTAAGTCTGGTCTCGAACTTCTGACCTCAGGTGATCCGCCTGCCTCAGCCTCCCAAAGTGCTGGGATTACAGGCGTGAGCCACCGCGCCCGGCGACATGTATCATTTTTACAAAAACATTTGAGTATGTGGCATGTGGCAGTTTCATCTGTCAGGCTGCACATGACTGGTTGATTACAGTATGCAGCCCAATCCCCAAGCTGTGGCCCAGGTGGCTTGGAATGGTCTTTGCAATAACATCATGGCAACTGGATTGGTTATGCATGAATTGTGTTGGTTGCTTGGTAACAATGTCAATCTATGGAAATTTTATTAAACCAGAAAAGGATACATCCAGAAGAGGGTACATCCAGACATTTCTGGGTAAACAATTTATTTTTGAATCTTCAATTTGGCTTTTATTTTAAAATACTTTTAGCATAGAACAGTCATAGGGCAGAAAATAATAAAACACAAAGAAATGGAAGATTTCAAGTACCTAGACATAAAAATTAGACATAGCATAGACCCAGGTTATGGGAAACAGTCTGTAAAATTCTATTCATTAAACACAATTTGAAAGAAAAGCTCTTTTCCAATGTACCACTTTTGTCCTACCTGCCTTGATTTCCTTTTAATCCCTAAGTAAAGGGTAAATTTAGTTGCTTTACTTAAAATTATCAGCTTCAGTTTTGGTAAAAATTACCATGCCCTTAAAAACTAGAGTTATCAAAAATATGAGCCCAAGTAGTTATGCTGCCCTAAACAATTTATTGAAGCATGTATTGGCAAGTATTTCTGCTGATATCAACTTTTCTTCATTTGTTCATTTTTTTTTTTTTGTTATGATATATAATTGTGCCATTAAAAAGCCTCTAAATGAGGCTGGGCGCGGTGGCTCACGCCTGTAATCCTAGGACTTTGGGAGGCCGAGGTGGGTGGATCACCTGAGGTCAGGAGTTCCAGAACAGCCTGGCCATCAGGGTGAAACCCCATCTTAAAAAAAAAAAAGCCTCTCTGAGGCAGGAGAATTGCCTGAACCCAGGAGGCGGAGGTTGCGGTGAGCCGAGATCGTGCCATTGCACTCCAGCCTGGGTAACATGAGTGAAACTCCGTCTCAAAAAAAAAAAAAAATAAATAAAAAAAAAAAAATAAAGCCTCTAAATGTACTGCTTCTTTCTTTTAGCTAAGGAAGGAAAGATGATATCATGCCCTTTTTTTTTCTTTTTGGAGATGGAGTCTCACACTGTCACCCAGGCTGTAGGGCAGTGGCATGATCTCAGCTCACTGCAATCTCCACCTCCTTCCTGGGTTCAAGCAATTCTCCTGCCTCAGCCTCCCAAGTAGCTGGGACTACAGGCATGTGCCACCATGCCCATCTAATTTTTTTGTATTTTTAGTAGAGACAGGGTTTCACCATGTTGGCCAGATGGTCTCGATCTCCTCACCTCGTGATCTGCCTGCCTCAGCCTCCCAAAGTGCTGGGATTACAGGTGTGAGCCACTGTGCCTGGCCCTATCATGCCCATTTTTTAAAACAAAGAAGCCAAGCCTATCTTGCCCAATTTCTTATGGTTTTCAGTTTCCTATGTATGAGAGTTGGTGCTTGCAATGATCCTTTTCTCATCATTCCAAAAAGATGAATAGAACTGAATTATTCAGATTTTATTCTTCTTGTCCGTTACAGATATGAGAAAAGGAAGAATAACTTTGCTCCCCTAAAAATATTTTAAAATTCATAGATCTCTTTATTAATTTTCAAGTGTTTGGATGCTTAAAGAAGATAATTTGCAGACGGCTTTTGGAATCAATTAGCATGGATCCCAGCAGTGACTACCATTTCCTCAACCAGATCTTGTGGAGAAGGGTGAAACTCACGTTGGTCTGTGGCGTCTTCGAGGGTGTGCTTCAGCATGTTGACCCTAACAAGATTGTTGTCCTGAAGAAAGGTCTTATTCTATTTCTCATAATGTTCTGCCTTTGAAGAGATTAATGATTGAGTTTCAGTGATAGGTTTAGGCTCCATTAGCAATTGGGACGGTGGCATTATTCCTATTTTAGGGAAGGTGTGGGAGGAAGGTTAGAATACTGTTTTTCCCAAACAGAATAATGTGACCATATATGCTGGTTTGTCCCTACTTCTATACTTTTGACATGATAGCAGGAATTTTCAATATAGTTTTTTAAATTAAAAAAACATTTTTTTAAATTTGTTTTTTGTTGTTGAGATAGTCTTGCTCTGTCGCTCTGTCTGAAGTGCAGTGGCATGATCTTGGCTCACCGTAATCTCCACCTCCTGGGTTCAAGCAATTCTCCTGCTTCAGCCTCTCAAGTAGCTGGGATTACAGGTGCATGCCACCACACCTGGCTAATTTTTGTATTTTTCATACAGACAGGGTTTCACCATGTTGGGCAGGCTGGTCTCAAACTCCTGATCTCAGGTGATCTGTCTACCTCAGCCTCCCAAAGTGCTGGGATTATAGGCATGAGCCACCACGCCCAGCGCCCCACCCCCTTTTTTTTTTTTTTCTGAGATGGACTCTTGTTCTTGTCACCCAGGCTGGAGTGCAGTGGTGCCATCTTGGCTCACTGAAACCTCCATCTCCGAGGTTCAAGCAGTTCTCCTGTCTCAGCCTTCCAAGTAGCTGTGTTTACAGGTGCCCACCACCACGCCGGGCTAATATTTGTATTTTTAGTAGAGACAGGGTTTCACTGTATTAGCCAGGCTGGTCTCAAACTCAGGACCTGAGGTGATCTGCCCACCTCAGCCTCCCAAAGTGCTGGGATTACAGACATAAGCCACTGTGCCCGACCCTTTAATTTCTTTCCGTATGCACTTTGAAATTAAAAATAACCACCATATTAGTTAGAATTGCTTTTGACTTCAGCAGATGAGTTCACACAGTAAGGGGTTAATTTTTCTCATACAAAAAGTACGAAGTAGGCAGCTGAAGAATAGTGCAATGGCTCAAAGACACCAGCAGAGACCAGGTGCATTTTGCTCCTGCTCTGCCACGTCAGTGATCATCTCTTATACTCATGGTCACCAGTAGAGCCTCTACACCTCCCAGCTTCAATTCCTGTTTATCATAAAGGATAAAGCTCAAGAACAGGCAAATGCAAGAGATACATAGGGCAATCTTGTTTTTGTTTTTTTTTTTTTTTTTAAGACAAAGTCAGTGGCTGGGCGCGGTGGCTCAAGCCTGTAATCCCAGCACTTTGGGAGGCCGAGGCGGGTGGATCACGAGGTCAAGAGATCGAGACCATCCTGGTCAACACGGTGAAACCCCGTCTCTACTAAAAATACAAAAAATTAGCTGGGCATGGTGGCACGTGCCTGTAATCCCAGCTACTCAGGAGGCTGAGGCAGGAGAATTGCCTGAACCCAGGAGGCGGAGGTTGCGGTGAGCCGAGATCGCGCCATTGCACTCCAGCCTGGGTAACGAGTGAAACTCCCTCCCAAAAAAAAAAAAAAAAAAAAAAAAGACAAAGTCAGGCTCTGCTACCCAGGCTGGATTGCAATGGCATGGTGTGATCACGGCTCATTGCAGCCTCAGCTACCCAGGGTCAAGTGATCCTCCCACCTCAGCCTCCTGAGTAGCTGGGACTACACTTGTACAACACCTCACCTGGCTAATTTTTTTAATCTTTATTTTTTGTAGAGACAGGATCTCCCTGTGTTGCCCAGGCTGGTCTTAAACTCCTGGGCTTAAGTGATTCTCCATGACCTCCAAAATGCTAATTTTATGTTAATATTTTTTTCTGATTTAATGTGTTTTTTTTTTATGGGGGAAGGGAGATGGAATTTCCATGTCCTCTTTGGTTGTGCCACCCTCCCAGTACCTCCATGTCTGGTAATCTGGAAGCTTCAATATATAGAGTTTCCTGGTATCATAAGTTTCAGATTCATCATTGAAACATGTATAAATTGCATTTGATAGGTTAATGTTATTAAGCCACATTTTGAGTTAAAATAGACTTTTATGGGCTAGGATGGGATTATAACAGGTTTCTGCAACATTAATTTATTTAGTAATCATGTATTGATTGTTTTGTGTCTCAGAAACTCTGCTTGGTACCAGGGACACATATAGAAAGAAGGTGTTCCCTGTTCTCAAAAAACCTAGTCAGGGCTATAATCCCAGCTATCTGGGAGGGTAAGGCAGAATTGCTTGAGGCCAGGAGTTTAATATGAGCCCAGGCAACATAGCAAAACTACATCTGTAAAAAAAATTTTTTTAATTAATTTTTTTTTCTTTTTAAAAACTGAGATGGAAGCAGGACGTGATGGTTTACGCCTGTAATCCCAGCACTTTGGGAGGCTAAGGCGGGCGGATCACCTGAGGTCGGGAGATCGAGACCAGCCTGACCAACATGGAGAAACCCCATCTCTACTAAAAAAAAAAAAAAAAAAAAGAATAAAAAAATTAGCCAGGCATGGTGGCATACACCTGTAACCCCAGCTGCTCAGAAGGCTGAGGCAGGAGAATCGCTTAAATCTGGGAGGCGGACGTTGCAGTGAGCCGAGATAGCGCCATTGCACTCCAGCCTGGGCAGCAACAGCAAAACTCCATCTCAAAAAAAAAAAAAAATTGAGATGGAGATTGAGTCTCACTATGTTGCCCAGGTTTATCTCCAGCTTCTGGGCTCAAGGGATCCTCCCATCTCAGCCTCCTGAAGTTCTGGGATTATAGGCATGAGCCATCACACTCAGCCCCCAACAAAAAAAAAATGTTTTTTGACAGAGTCTCACTCTGTCACTCCGGCTGGAGTGTAGTGACACTATCATGGCTCATTGCAACCTTGACCTCCTGGGCTCAAGTGATTCTCCTGCTTCAACCTCCTAAATACCTGGGACTACAGGCATGTACCACCAAGCCGAGTAAATTTTTAAAATTTTTTGTAGAGATAGGGTCTCCCTGTGTTGCTCAGGCTGGTCTTGAACTCCTGGGTTCAACTGGTTCTCCCACTCAGCCTCCAAAGTGCTGTGATTAGAAGTGTGAGCCACCACATCCAGCCTAAAAAACAATTTTTTAAAAAATTAGCCAGTCTTGGTGGCTCACACCTGTAGTCCCAGCTATTTGGAGCTCACGTGGGAGGATCACTTAAGCCCAGGAGTTTGAGGCTGTAGTGAGCTATGACCATGCCACAGCACTCCAGCCTGGGCAACAGAGCAAGACCCCCATCTCTAAAAAAAATTTTTTTTTTAATTAAAAACTTACTCTAAAAGAAGAAAAAAAAACTTACTCTAGTAGATAGATAGGTAGACAGGTATAATGGAGTGTGAGATCCTCTCTGATAGGCTGGTCCAAGTGCAGTGGTGTTTACAACTAATTGATCACAACCAGTTACAGATTTCTTTGTTCCTTCTCCACTCCCACTGCTTTACTTGACTAGCCTTATATAAATGTTAAAAAGGCCGGGCGCGGTGGCTCACGCCTGTAATCCCAGCACTTTGGGAGGCCGAGGCGGGTGGATCACAAGGTCAAGAGATTGAGACCATCCTGGTCAACATGGTGAAACCCCGTCTCTACTAAAAATACAAAAAATTAGCTGGGCATGGTGGCGTGTGCCTGTAATCCCAGCTACTCAGGAGGCTGAGGCAGGAGAATTGCCTGAACCCAGGAGACGGAGGTTGCGGTGAGCCGAGATGGCGCCATTGCACTCCAGCCTGGGTAACAAGAGCGAAACTCCATCTCAAAAAAAAAAAAAAAAAAAAAGTTAAAAAAATAAAAATAAAAAAGAGAGATCCTCTCTGACAGAAAGATGCAAAGGATGCTATGAAAACCAAAGATTCAGCTAATTTGGATCTAGAAGTGCTTGAATTAGGACAGTGGAGTGATCTTCTAAAGGAGGAATTGGTGGTGGAACTCCATCTGGTTGAGTAGGAGTCAACAATGGGAAAGGGACCTGGAGTGATGGCTCATGCCTGTAATCCCAGCACTTTGGGAGGAATCTTGGCTCACTGTAACCTCTGCCTCCCAGGTTCAAGGGATTCTTCTGCCTTGGTCTCCTGAGTAGCTGGGATTACAGGCACATGCCACCATACCCAGCTAAGTTTTGTATTTTTTAGTAGAGGCAGAGTTTCACCATGTTGGCCAGGCTGTTCTCGAACTCCTGACCTCGGGTGATCCACCTGCCTCGGCCTCCCAAAATGCTGGGATTTACAGGTATGAGCCACTGCACCTGGCACAGTTTGAAAATCTTTAGTAAGTCTGTTCTTAGTTGAAAATATGAGTGAAGATGAGAAAAATAGTTCACACTGGAGAAAAAAGGGATGTCAGGACAACTAAGAAGTGGATATGATCATTCAAAGAGAAGGAAAAAGGATGAGAGACAAAACACTGGGGACCATCAATGTACAAGGGACAAGTAGAGGTGTGGAGACTGGAGCAAATCAGAGAGCCACTGTAACAGTGGTTATAAGAAAGAGTATTGCCAGGCAGGGTGGCTCACAGCTGTAATCCTACAACTTTTGAGGGGCTGAAGGGGGAGGATGGCCTGAGCCCAGGAGTTTGAGACCAGCCTGGGCAACATAGTGAGACCCAATCTCTACCAAAAAAAAAAAAAAAAGAAAAATAGCCAGGCATGGTGGCACATGCCTGTAGTTCCAGCTATTCGGAAAGCTGAGGAGAAGGATGGCTTAAGCCCAGGTGTTTGAGGCTGCAGTGAGCTAGGATTATGCCACTGCACTCCAGCCTGAGCAACAGAGTAAAACCCTGTGTCAGTTTAAAAAAAAAAAAAAAAAAAGGCATATTAAAATCACTGAGTCATGAATTTGACTCCTGACTGTTTTTTGCTAGCAGTGGTACCTTGAGCTAGTTATTCAACCTTTCAGAGCCGCAGAGTCCTCCATAACTGAAATAATGAAATTCTTATTATGTTACTAGAAAACTGAGTATAGGGAAATAGCATGATGTCAGCCAGGCACAGTGGCTCACACCTGTAATCCCAGCACTTTGGGAGGCTGAGGCGGGCGGATCACGAGGTCAGGGGTTCGAGAGCAGCCTGACCAACGTGGTGAAACCCTGTCTCTCTCTAAAAATAATAATAATAATAAATAAATAAGAAAACAAAAAGAAATAGCATGATGCCTGGCTCAGTGGGTGCTCAATATGGTAGCTCTAGGTAATTAGTAGGAAAAGAATTACAATGTCTTTTTTTTTTTTTTGGGGGGGGGGGACGGAGTTTCGCTCTTGTTACCTAGGCTGGAGTGCAATGGCGCGATCTCAGCTCACCACAACCTCCGTCTCCTGGGTTCAGGCAATTCTCCTGCCTCAGCCTCCTGAGTAGCTGGGATTACAGGCACACGCCACCATGCCCAGCTAATTTTTTGTATTTTTAGTAGAGACGGGGTTTCACCGTGTTGACCAGGATGGTCTCGATCTCTTGACCTCGTGATCCACCCACCTCGGCCTCCCAAAGTGCTGGGATTACAGGCTTGAACCACCACGCCCGGCCAGAATTACAATGTCTTACAACTAAAGAAGAAAGAAGGTTCTGCTTGCACCTATAATCCCAGCACTTTGAGAGGCTGAGGTGGGAGGATCACTTGAGGCCAGGAGTTAAAAAGAAAATAGAGAACAGTATTGTCAAAGGTTGCAGGAAAGTCAAGGAAGATAAGATTGCAAAACATTTTTTTGGATTTGACAAATAAGTAGTTGGTGATCTGTGACCCTGTTAAGAATATATTCAGTGGAACAGTGAGGGTGGAACTCAATTATTTGGATTGCTGAGAGGTGTGAAAAAAGACAGCTGCTATGAATACTTCCATCTAGGAAAACGACAGCACATTGTAGAGATGGTGTCTAACCTTCTAACTTGCTGATCTACTCATAGGAGAGCCAGGATTTGGATCATTGTCCTTGATGATACTTTCAAGTGTGTAGCATGACATGAAGCAGGTGTGGACACTAGAAGCTGTGGGCTGCCTTAAATTTTTTTTCTGGAGTTAAGTGGAGTAAAATTAAATAAAAAGGCAAAGGCCTTAGAATATTCTCAGGAGAATTTTAGATTCTGTATACTATCCTTTTTAGTTTCTCCTGAAACATAATGGGGTTTCCCTTGTTTTTTATACCACTTGTTTAAAGACTTGTTTTTATACTTCTTGTTTATTATTGACTCTTCATTCCTTGGGAAAAATAGTTTAGAGATTTTTTTTTTTTTTTTTTTTTTTTTTTT